TCATGTTGCAACACGACACATGAAGCAATGAGCCGCTTCTTCCTAGTGGAGTATCGAGCTGACACAACACACATCGCCAACCACCAGAAGGATCGCAACCCCTCCGGAACCGGCTCGTGCCGTCAGCTTATTAGGATTTTGAGGATGCACACGAATGGCTGTTGCAACCGCAGCTTTGACTCCTCGACACCCTAAGATGCACTCTTTTCACTTAGGCCCTGGCATTGGGTAGGACTCTAGCCGAACTCCTCTCCGCGGTCCCTCGAAAACGCCTCCCTCCTGGCGCGAGGGGTTCGGGGGTCAGCTACCATGCAGAGCCGTGACAGTTGCCACAATTGGTACTAACTAGCACTGTTTTTGCATCCAGGTCTCTTGCAGTCAGGCGGGTTGGGGATAAGTCTGAGGGCGAATAAGAAAGTCTCAGCACTTAGAATCGGAAAACCCCTCTAGTGGACTAAACTTTTTTATGAACCATTTTTGCAGCTGGGACTCTTTGCCTAAAGCCTGAACCTAAACCCTGAAGGCAGGATCTGCCCAGGGTTTGCACACCATGGCCCCTGAAAGGATGCATCGAACATGATTCAGAAGTATCTGCAAAAAGGACGTAATGACCAAGGTTGAGTTGCCATGGGGCACTTCCATTTTCAAACCCTGATCCCAGCTCTGACAACCTAAGCCGTACTCCTTCCTCCTTCAACCCCACCCATATCCCGACCTACGCTGGAACTCACGCGGAACCCTAAACCCTAAACCCTTACCCTCAACCCCAGTAATTACGGAAGACCCCCAGGGCCCCAGAACCCCGAGAACCCTCAAAGAAAAAGGCCCACATCCCTCCGAAGGCTTAGATTTAGATGGAGTGGAACAAAGGGTATCCTGGGCCTACTTGTCGGGCTTTCTGAAGTGAGGGAAGCTAAGCACCTTAAAGTCTCCTGGATTGGCCTCCCCCCCCTTTCATAACTGGGGTGCATCACACGTTTTGAGTTAAGCAAGGTGCGAAAAGGAAGAGAACACATCCGAAGTTGCAGCCACAGATATACTAGTCATCTGGGCAGTTGAAGGGACACGACGACGTCTCATCAGACATGCAGCTTAGATTCATATGTTTGTTGCGCCCTGCCCCGATTTACCATTTGTGCTTTCTGTTCGCTCGCCCTTCAAGACATCTCCAAAGTCGCTTTCAGTAACAGCCCCGCTAATTCACACTTTGGGCGTGAACAGCGCGAATCCCAGTTTGATTGTCAGAATTGCTGAGATATGTGCATGTATGTAAAAAAACAGGTGTATATATATATATGTACATATGTATGTATGTGTATGTGTGCTCGTATGCTCTGTAGAATCGGGTTCCCTTTGCTCTGACCAGGGTCTTCAAGGCACTTCCACTTAGCCACTCCGCACGAATTCTTGCATCAACACGTCGGGCGTATATTCGATCGTGGGAACCTCGCAAGGAACGCGACCTGGGGAAAGCGCGCCATCTGCAAGAGTTCTCCCAAAAAACCCTACACCATGACTCCTTAACTTCCGCCCTAAGCCCGAGACCTTTTCACTAAACCCTAATAGCCCTAAACCCTAAACCCTAATAGCCCTAAACCCTAAACCCTAATAGCCCTAATAGCCCTAAACCCTAAACCCTAAGCCCCTAACTTGCGCCTCGTGGAGGTCTGAGTGCAGTTCCGGGGGCAACTCGAGGCCCTCCGCGATGGGACGGCATGTCCTGGGCTCCGGGGGCGTGACACTATGGACATGGGGGGGCTTCCGAAAATCGGGTTTAGGGTTTAGGGTTTAGGGTTTAGGGTTTAGGGCTAGGGTTTAGAAGGGTTTAGGGTTTCGGAATTAGGGGTACCTTATTGGGGGCCTTATTACAAGGGAATCCTACTGCTTGGGGGTCTATACTAGGGGTCCCTTATTGTCGTAAACCCCCATATGCTTAAGAACCCCCCCCCCTCCCCCATTCCTTATTATAAAGGTCATCACTTAGGGATTTCTTTTTGCTTAAGACCGCCCACAACACATACATATTCTTCCTACTCAGGGTAATATAGTATCTTCTTCCTAAGAGGGGCAATATAGGGATTGTTAGCTTTTAGTTTGTTGGCGGGGTTGGCAAACGGCACATCTCTGCTCGCACCCTTCCGCTCCTTTTAGGGTTCGTTGTCCATTCCAACTCGACTTAGCGATGTTGTACCTAAGATAACTTAGAAATCCCTCTTACGATTTTAAGAACTATTCCTGCATGAAGGGTGGTATGGGCCACTGGGTGCTAAACCCTGAGTACAGCCTTGCGCAATGGGGCCCCTACTCCAGGGCTCTGAGAAATCCGGAGGTGAAGAGCAGTCGCGGTCGCAACCTGTTGCCACTTGGAGGTTCATGGGCCAATGAAAGCCCATCTGCAACGCCATTTCCCCCTCCCTACTAAACTAGTTGCTAAACCCCTAAAACACCTCTGCAGACGCTAAAGCTGGAGAGGTCAGAGTTGCACCTTAAGAGCTGTGGACCTTCTTGGGCGCCTTTGGCACATTGATGTCGAGGATGTTAGGGAGTGACCCTTTTGACCCCTAAACCCTAAACCCTTCTTTTTGAGCCCGCGCTATGCAACTGCCTGAGACGGGAGTGCGATTGCGCTATTTCTAAACCCTATAAACCCAGGAAGGGAACCCTCATCTCGGATTCAGCTGCTGAGGCATTGAATGGAATTGAGGGGGTTGCGGCCTTTTTCTTTCACTTCTGCTGCGGCTCCCCGGGAAAGGGCTCACAAACTAGCGGGCAGGCCCCCCTCACGTCTAAGCTTCAACGCCCACAGCCCTCACGTAGCAACAGCAATGAGAACAAAAATCCTGAATCCAGATGCTCGGCACTGCTTCGGCTCAAACTTTGGAAGCTGCACTTGTACAAATGAAAGGCTGGAACGATGCCCTTGCAGCGAAGGATTACGCTACTGGTTATGGGTATTAGGTAATATTAGGTATGGGTGGGCATGGTAGGGCGGCCCATCCTGCAGCAATGCTGGTGTGTCGAATTACTGGGTGCACCAAACTACGTGCTCGTCGTCTCAGGAAGCAGAGACCCCGGTGCTGGGTCCAAGTTCCAGCACGCGGCGGCCTCCCAGGCGGTCCCTAGCATTCCCCAAGCCCCCTATTTTGAGGCAGCTTCTTTGTCCACCCGCCTAGCTGACACTTGGCCACACTGCAGGTAACAGTCTTTCCATGTTTGAAAAAAGCGGAGAAAAAAGGTGCTACAAAACGGGAGGTTTGAAGATGTTTGAAGACCAAGCTCCGACGCAAATGAGGCGTTGTTGAGGATCTGCAGGAGCTTGGGGTTGGAGGTTTAGGGTTTCCGGCGGCTTGTGACGAGGACTGCTCGGCTAGGCTAACGCTCACCCAGCCTTCGTGAAGATTCGTAGAGAAGAAACACACACACACAAACACACACACACACACACACACAGAGACACACACAGAGACACACACAGAGAGACACACATAGAGACACACAGACACAGACACACACACAGAGACACACACACACACACAGACACACACACACACACACACAGAGACACACACACACACACACACACAAACAACCACACACACACACACGGAGAGAGGGAGGTCAACCAGAGATTGTTGTACAATGGTACACTGTTGCCAGATCCCATCCAGGAGGTACTGAAACTTCAGATCACTGAGTGACCAAAGGGAAACAACAGCACTATGAACATTGCGCAGGTACACAAGGATGCGTCCATCCTTGCTTCACAAGCTCTAACTGGGCGTCTTCGTTGGCTCTCGTCCCAGTTAGGCTCCGAGAGCCCCCTGCGGGAAAACTGAGCGAGATGCTGGATCTCGGTCCAACCTTATTGGCGTATCCAAGTCCCTTAGCTTAGAATCAGGGTTCACACACACACACACACCCCTCCTACGAGGGGAGACACAATGCATTCCAAGGCCCAATCCTCCGCCATAGGCCCGTCACCGCCATAGGCCCTCCTCCTCCAGCACCGACCTTAGAAATCCTTAGTGTCGTCGTCATCGTCGTCAGGGACCTCCAGCTGCCATGAAAGGCCCAGGAGCGTCCGGGAGATCCCAGCTGCCAGCGCCGTGACCCAAGGCACCTCCCATCATCGTCGTCGTCGTGGAGGACCCCCAGCTGCCACAAAGGGCCCAGGAGCATCCCAGGAGGCCCCCGCTGTCAACAGCGACCCAGAGCACCTCTACTAAGACAGAAGCCGAGCGGCGAAATGGCCAGCAAGAAAGAAAACGGTCTAACTATTTGCAACTGAGGGGCAACCACCGCAAATACGACTCGGGTCGAGACCCACGAATAGAGAGTTAGACCACCTCGTCTATGTCTCACGACTGGGTTTAAGACACCCTTCAACAATTTCCGGTTCCGCCCTTATTGGCGACACTGAGCTTCAGCCGGCGTGGCTGGTACCTCGAGAGAAAGAGAATCCGCTCATAGCACTGGGTGCCTACCAAGGCTCATCTGGCACTGAAGCCTCTCTGTTTACTTGGGTGATCCCCATCCAGGAATGAGGCAATGCCCAAACGGGTGAATTGCCCTTGGGCGATGAAGCCCTCACACGGAGAGAGGGAGGTCAACCAGAGATTGTTGTACAATGGTACACTGTTGCCAGATCCCATCCAGGAGGTACTGAAACTTCAGATCACTGAGTGACCAAAGGGAAACAACAGCACTATGAACATTGCGCAGGTACACAAGGATGCGTCCATCCTTGCTTCACAAGCTCTAACTGGGCGTCTTCGTTGGCTCTCGTCCCAGTTAGGCTCCGAGAGCCCCCTGCGGGAAAACTGAGCGAGATGCTGGATCTCGGTCCAACCTTATTGGCGTATCCAAGTCCCTTAGCTTAGAATCAGGGTTCACACACACACAAACAACCACACACACACACACACACACACAAAAACAACCACACACACACACACACCACACACAACCAACAAGAAGATAAAGAGCAAGACCCATGGCGCCTAGTGCCCGGGGCCCAACTCCAAGAGGTCCACCTCTCCGGCCACAGGAGGACAAGCAAGTTGCTCATGTTGAACAGCGGTCTCTTCACAAGGAGTGATGTCCAAAGATGCTGTTCAGAGGTGAAATTGCCGTTTATAACCTCTGGCCCTGTGGTGCAGTTGAGCGTGACTTGCCCTGACTCGCTAGGCGTCGAACTCAGAGGCCTTGCACTGTACATACTGAGTTGCGGTCTTGAACCAGAACACCCCACCCGAAATGCCAAATGGGACGTTGTCAATCACGCACTCCCAGACCCCTGGAGGACAAAAAGTAGACCCCTTTAAGGGTTCCTAAGTATGACCCAATAGTAGGACAGGGTACTATTTGGGGGGCTCTACTTTTTGGATCCTCTGAGAGCATCCTTCGGAGAACGGGCCCATGCGGCCAATCGGCCAGATTCGGTTGGCTAGGAGAGAGTGATAGGGTTTAGGGTTTAGGGACCCTGCGGTTCAGGGTTTAGGGTTTAGAAGGGCTCTCAGGGTTTAGAGCTCAGGGGTGCAAGACTCCACACTCCGACCTCCACGTGGACTGGGAAAGTGTCGGCATCGCGCTCGACCTTCCTGGGGCAGTTTGGAACCCCGGGCTGTATCGACACGCGACGTCGAAAAAAACACCTCGTGTCCTAGGCCAGGGAATCGTACTCAACACCCTCCAAAGTTCAGCCCCCACCCAGAATGGCGTTCACGGTGATGGACAACCCTTCAGGCCATATAAGGTGGAAGGAAACAATCTGGGAGCTCCGTTCCAGCCATTGAAGGCCCGAAGTGTGAGGCTAAGAGCCTTTAGGATGCAAAAACCTCGGGCGACTGCCATGGCCATAAACTGTAATTTGGAAACTGTCTGCAGTCTGACGGCTTGCCTTCAGTCAAGTGAGGTAGCGTTGCATGAATGGCTAGTGCTGCGCCCCTTAACCCAGGATCATCACAGCCAAGCGGCTTCAGGTAGTCCGTCAGCGGCTTCCTGAGCAACCGATGTTGCGCGAGGCTTGAGGATGTCAGGAAGCCGCTCGAAGGGGCTCATGTGCTTGCACACAGATTCTATGCCTCGTTTTCTTGAAGCCTTGAAAACACCAAAAGCAGAAGCATGAGTTAAGATGACGCCCTGAACCCGCCAGCCCTTCCACGCCTTACAAAGAACAAAGGCTTGTCATTCCAAGAACTGGTCGGGTGCAGCTGAGGTGCACGAAGGAGGCCTGACGAGACTTGCGAGGTAACTTGTTGATGTCTTACAAGGGCTCAGCTGCCGAGCTAACTGAATATCAAGCTTCGGGTACGAGTAGCACATTATGTGGCTCTCTGCCCCTTTGCGGCCGTAGCTGGACCTCACAAAGCCCTAAACCCTAAACCCTAAACCCTAGACCCTAAACCCTAAACCCGAGAGCGCTACTGGCCGGAGCACTCCGAGACTGATGTGCTTCGTTCATCGGCCTTCTAGCTCGCCGTGGAACCCTGATGATAAGAGCGTGTTGAGTATTCCCTTGGGCTCTACCAAAATTCAAAAACGCAGCATGACTTTTAAGGAGGCTGTAGGTGAGAGGTCCGAAGCAACTCGTGCTCTGAAATTGACCCGACAGTAAACCTGCAACGCTCGGCAAGATGCCTTTAAAGAGTGTTCCGCCACGAAGCGCTCTGCGGCGTCTTTACCTCGATCAGATATTATTTCGCGTGTGTTCCAGTTGGGAATTTTGAGAGCAGATCGTCAGCCCGTGCAAGCCGACATCCAGAACTCGAACTTAGGGTGTGCTGTAGTGTGCAGATCTTAATAAGTGCCTCTTTGCTACGAGGGGCATGCACCTACTAGCAGACAAGCTCTTCTCATTGGGCGTTCACATATCAGTACGCCGTGTGCCACGAGATGGAACGCTGGAGCCAGCGGCATCTAAAGCTAAACCCTAAACCCTAAACCCTAAACCCTAAACCCTAAACCCTAAACCCTAAAACCCTAAACCCTAAACCCTATACACCCTACACCCAAAAAAAACCCTAACCCCTAAACCTGTAACCCTGAAACCCGAATCTTCTTTCTGCCCAGCAACATCTGTCAGAGGCCCGGACCTGCTGTCAGAGCGATGAGGCGAGACATGAGTGGGCTTCTAGGTGCTTCGGGGCATTCGGATGTAGGGGTTTAGGGTTTAGGGTTTAAGGCTTCTATAGGATTGCTTGTGTTGGGTTTTTTTGAGGCTGTTGGTGCAAAAGCATCTGCTAAGCCCCGTGCCCAAATCCTTACATCCCTTTTTTCTCATCCAGGTCCCTAAGCCCTACACCCGAAACCCTAGTCCCTACATCCCCAAAGGGTATGTCGGCAAGGCGATTCTGGCTTGGGGATCGTAAACGCTAAGCGGCAGGAACTCGCTGGCTTGCATGTCTATGTTCTGATTCTTATGAAAAAAGTTATTTTGCTTAGTAGTATTACTATACTATTGCCAAAATTTACTAACGATGTGCTTACTACTATTGTTATTCTTACTACTAATTTTAACCTATCAAAAACATTTACTAAGTGCTTGCTTTTTCAGCTGCAGGCCGAGCCACGTGGAGCGGCTGCACACTTCCGTCCCCGATCTTGACCTGCGAAAAGCAAACCCCTCTGAGCGCCCGCAACACCGCAACACTGCGTGTAGGGTCTTCAAGGCGCGGGGGCTTACGGTTTTTAAGGCTTTAGGGTTTTAGGGCTGGGCGGCGGCTTGCCAGCCACATTGGGCTTCCCGCCGAGAGCCGCTAGTTTGGAATGAGCTTCCGTGACCTGCACATAAGCGCACCTGGATAGCGTGTAAGGTTCGCCATTTTTGTTGCTCCCAAAGGCCTGGCATGTGAGGAGATGCCTGATTCTCAAGCTATGGCCCCTTTCGGGTACAGGGGCTCGGGAAAGTCGACCATTCTGTTGGGGGAGACGTGAAACGCCAATGAACGCAGAGGGTTCAGGAAGTATCCAATAACAATATGGAGCCTTATATAAACAAATAAATATGCAAATACACGAATAAAAAATAAATGAATAAATAAAGTTAAATTTTTAAAAAATTATACATATATATATATATATATGTAGAACGCGTGCCTGGCCTGGGCCTCTACGAGGATCGTCTCCTTCGCAAAAAAGAATCTGCAGAGCCCTACGCGCATCAGGAAACCACCATCGCACCATGACGGTGAAACTGGATACTTTGTTTTTAGACATGTCTAAAAAAAGGAGGAATCTCAACACCCTCTGCACTCAGCTCCTGCCGGTCTGCCGCCGGGCTCTTGCTAGTTGGGCTGCCGTCTGCCTGGGCCAGAGAAGCACCACCCATCATCCCAACGCTGGCCCCAACCACAGCGAGCACCGGAAACAACAACGAAGCATCAAACCCTGAACGCTCGAGCTCATCACGAGTAGTAATGGTGCCAAAGCCGTCCGAATTCGTATAAAAGAAAAATATAGGCCCACTTTGAGACTGTATGCATTAGCGGCCCTTAACATAACAGCCTTTTGGTTTCTTTCCCCTCGCTTCTCTCTTCTTTCTAGTATTATTTAGCTTGCAATAATCCTAAAAGAAGCGAAGGTGAAAAGACCCTGACATCCATCCCACCTGTCAGTCTTGCCCATGAACCCGCCCTTGAGACCCTGACTCTCATTTCTTGGTCTAACCGTTCACACCCTTCAGGTTGGGCCATGTCATCCTGTCCGTCTTGTTCACACGCCTCATTCACCTCATTCAGGTACCAATGATCGATTCTTGTCTCACGGCTCTTACTACTAGATTGAAGGTCTGGTTCTCAAGGTACGATACTAATCAGGTTGTAAGCCCCCAGTTCTCGTTTCCTGGCTCATGATTCCAAGGGTGTGCGCGGTAAGACTCTAGGTTAAACCACAAGCCCCCATCATCTGGTGAATCCTGGTGCTCGTGCGTTCACCTCAGGATCTAGGATATGAACCCCAAACGGTTTACTATAGGGGTTCCGGGTTCCTGTTTAAGAATTTCATGCTAGCCGGATTTTGAAACATCCAGAGACACAGGCCCCACCCTACCAGTACTTGAAGGTTCGTGTGTAGTCCTTAGTAGGGTTCTATAGGTACCCTTCATGATGTTTACAGGTCTTATGACGAAGTTATCCTACGTACAAGCCCTGGTAATAACCACCCGTGACCCCTTCAAGATTTCGCATCTTCCTGTGCCTGGGATACATTCTTTGGCAGTTTCATGGGCACCCTGTAACCGAGTGCAACTAGAGTAATATGCTGCTTGAGGTGACGACCTTCCAGACGCGAGTCATTAAAGCAAGACCGTCATGCAATATTCTTAGTATAAGACTCCGACCCCCATATATTCTGCCCCCCCCCACGCCCCCCTCGCCTGTTCCGCAGCTGCCGGCTTCTCCGCCGGCTTCTCAGCTGGCTTCTCTGTCGGCTTCGCAGGCGAGGACGGGGTTTCCTTCTCCTGCCCGCTGGAACAGGCTCGCCCGTGCTACTACTCACACAAACGCACGTGCACATATGTTTGCAATACAAGGCCATGCAACAACATAAGCCAACATCGATAGCATGTGCTAGAACTGTTACGAATGTTCCTCTGAACTCTGCACCCTGCACCCTATACACACCCAAGCCCTAACCCTTTTTTGATCTTTTCGCATCCGAGCTATGATGTCCTGGCCGGAAAGTCTCAGCAACACTCTCAAAACCCTTTTGAGCCAAGAGCTTGGGATAAACCCTACACCCTAAACCCTAAATGCCCTAAACTCTAAACCCTAAACCCTAAACCCTAAACCCTGAACCCTGAACCCTAAACCCTAAACCCTCAACCAAGCCCCACACACTGAAGGACCTCCGCAGGGGACTCGGCGGGCGCAGCCGAGGAAGCCGCCGCCGCTTCTGCAGCCGGAGCCGAGGTCTCGGAGGGTCTTTGGAGAGGTTCAGGGCTTGCAGGGTTTAGGGTTTAGGGTTTAGGGTTTGCAGGGTTTAGGGTTTAGGGTTTGCAGTGTTTAGGGTTTGGGGTTTGCAGGGTCTAGGGTTGAGGGTTTGCAGGTTTGGGTTGAGGGCTTTTTTTGCCCACCAAGCAGACCAGCCACAGTGGCGGGCAACAGTTTAAGTCGTTGTTTGTTTGTGGTTTAGGGTTGACTTGGAGGCTGATGGGTCCTCAAAATGTAGGGCGATTATAAGCAGGGCAGGTATAGCTACATGTGTTCTTGCTTATTTGGTACTTGTCACCCACATATAACAAGTACCCTTGATCCTCCAAGTCGGGATTGGAGTCCTCTCGTTCACGCGAATTTCTTGCTTCTCGTCTTGTGGTTGTTTCCACGATGTCGTTCCGGATCTTGGCTTGGCTGCGCAGCTGTTCTTGTTTGTGATGGGTGAGGTGAGGGAGGACATGCACCACATGTATCGGACGACTGTACGTCGATTGCTTTTGTTTGCCCGGCGGCTGTGTGGCTTGCGGGGGCAGGATCATTCTTTGAGGCGTCAGTCCCTTGCTGCACTCGCCATCTACAAATAGAAATATATGAATATATATATATATATCTCTGTTAGAATTCCACGGGCTGGCTCTCTCTCTCACACACACACACGTGTGCATACATAAATACTACATACATATACACACACACTAGTGTCTGTGATGTGTGTATATGTATATATGTATACAGGGTATATATACACACACACACATATATATATATATATACCGTATTGCTATAACCATTCACGTGCATGCATGTAAACGCACTGGGTTGAAAGAGCTCTCTACTACCCAACGGCGCCTTTCAACAAATCAAAAGCGACTGATTTTGGCACAGCCCACTGCTTCTTTTCGTGAATGGTCCTCTGATGAGACAACTCGAAGTCTACAACAACCCCATCAGCGCAACACACATCGTGTCCTTCAGAATCCCCTGCCTTAGGTGAGAGTTTGGTGAATCCAGAAAGCCCAATGTTCCTGAACTAAGGAATATTCCTTCAACACAAGAACC